TGAGCACCCTTAAAGTCATTGATTTGAATTCTTTATCTGACAAATTGCTTTCTTCCATTTCATGTAGTTATTTTTCTGGTGATTCCTCCTTTTCTTTGAGTGTTATTTATCTTTTTCTATTTTTTTCCTCACCCGAGGACATTTTTCCATTTTTTGTTCAGTAGAGTGGGAGGGAGAAAGAGAAAAAGAAAGAGAGAAACATCGATGTGAAAGAGACACATTGAGTGGCTGCCTCTCGCACAATCCAACCAGGGCTAGGGACAAACTGCAGTGGAGGTACGTGCCCTTAGCAGGAACCGAACCCAGGTCTCTCTGGACTGCAGGCGGACGCTCTAACCGCTGAGCCAAACCAGCCAGGGCTGGGTGTTATTTTGTTGTCTCCCCATTTTAGCGATCTGGTAGTTCTAGACCTGGTAAGGGATGTTGGGATGTGTAGGCAGGTCAGTGTGTATCAAACAAGGCTGCTGTGCCTCCTAGACTGTTCTGGAGCTTGTTGCCTCTTGCGTGCTGTGGGTCCTGGAGGACTGACAACTGGCAACTGGTATTGGTCTGTCCTGGCAGGCACTGCTGCTGGATTACATGGGCCCCACTGAAGCCGTGCTCCCCGCCAGTTGCCATCGCCAGGGGAAGCTGTATCACTCAGGCCCTGCTGGAGCCCAGGTACCACCACTGGTGGCTGGGGAGCACTGCTGCTTGGTGGGGCTCAGCTCTGCTGAAGCTTTTGGGCATGGGTCTCAGCTGCTGATCTGTGCTGCTCCTGCCTGGGGATGGATATCTGCTCCTGAGCCTCTGTTGCTAGGGGTGTATCTCAGCTCTGATCAGGCTGCTACTGTGGGAGATTGTGCTGGGCTCCTAGTCGTTTGTGGCTTCTGCAGCAGGCACCTTGACAACACAACGCTGCTACTGTGTACTGGTCTGTATTGACACAGCGGGCTCCACTGGTCTCATGATGCCAGGTGCACTGGTGGGCTCAGGTTGCTGGGCCCTAGCCGCTCCCACTGCCTCCTCCTAGAAAAGACCAGGGATCTTTCAAAGTGGCAGGACCTCCCAGCCACATAGGGAGAAGCACCCTGAAGAGCTGCTTACCGCGGTAGCTGGCTGTTCCCCATCCACAGCACAGGAACCTTCTGCTCCACGTTTCTGCACTGCTCGAGTTTGCTTGTCCACACTCATGGCCACTCATACTCTCTATCACACTTGCTCACTCTCTCACACACTCACCCTCCCTCCAGTCCTGCCCACCACCACACACTCGGTCTTTTTTCGGTAGGGTGGTTTTCTATTCTTCTATTCTTTCATCATTCCTCTACTCTCAGCCTTCACATCTTACTGAGAATAAAATTCAGAGTTCTTACTGAAGCTTGTCAGGCTCTGCATTACCAGTTAGTTCCTTCTCACATGGGCTTGGCTCCCTCTCTGGTCGCAGTTCCTAACCCACTTCCCCTGTGCTCACAGTGTTCCAGCATTAACCTCTCTGTTCTTCCTTACACACCCCAAGCATACTTCTACCTCAGAACCTTTGTACTTGCTGTTTTCTCTATCTGGAATGTTCTTTCCCAGGGTGTGTGTTTGTTGTGTGTCCCTCCTTCATGTAGACCTCTATAAAATGTCACCTCCACCCTGGCCAGTTTGGTTCAGCGGTTAGAGCGTCGGCCTGTGCACCAAAGAGTTGCCGGTTCGATTCTGGTCAAAGGCATGTACCTCGGTTGTGGTTTGTCCCTGGCCCTGGTCGCATTGTGCAGGAGGCAACCAGTCGATGTGTCCCTCTCATGTAAATGCTCCCCCCCCCCATCTGAAGATAAATAGAAAAATATCTTTGGGTGAGGATTAAAAAAAAAAGTCACCTCCTTAGAGAAACTTCCCTGACCACTTAATATAAAGTGGAATCTCCTACCATAATACTCTCTACCTGTATCTTGTTTTATTTTTCTTTACCAGATTTTCATGTATATGACATAATAAACATTTATTTTGCATTTGGTTATATTGTCCCTCCCCCACTGGAATGTAAACTCCTTGAAGGCAGGCTCTTTGTGTTGTATGTACTGCAGTATCCTTAGTGCCTAGAATGGTGCCTGAATTCTCATGAGCACTTAATACTGTTGAATGTATGCTGATGATCAGACTTCCTAGAGAAGGGATCTGTTGGGCTGTCGAGTATTAAGTAAATCTATTGAGTAAGATGCTAGGCCAACTGCCTCAGCACCCTCTGGGCATCTGTTAAGTCAGGTGCTCATCCTGATACATCCAACCAGTAGTAGCCAGGACAGTGAGGTCCTCTTCATATGGTCCTCTTCATTCAAGATCCCCTTCTTTCCACTTGAATGGGTTCATCCCTCTAAAAGTTTAAGTTTCAACTCTAGGTTCATGAGAAAAATTTTGCCAGCTCCCATGCCATGGAACATTTTCTTCCAAAGGTCTAGAGGAATGATAGGCAGAATTATTTGGTTTTCTTGACCTTCTTTATGTTCTCTTGCTGTGTTCTCCTGACTCATATACTTGTTAGTCTCTGGTTTTTTGTTTAATCCTTACCCAAGGATATTTTTCATTAATTTTTAGATAGAGTGGGAGGGAGGGTGTTGCGGGGTTGGGGGGACATCAATTGGTTGCCTCCCACATGGCCCTGGGCCCTGGGCCTGGTTGGGGTTGGGGATCGAACCTGCAACCCAGGTTTGTGCCTTTGACTAGGAATCAAACCTGCGATCCTTCGGTCTGCAGGCCGACGCTCTAACCACTAAGCAAAACCAGCCGGGGAGGTTTCTGGTTCTTCATTTTAGTATGCCCTCTCTTTTTGCCCCTCCTTTCTTTCTCTTGTTCTTTTCTCTCAGCTGCCATTATGCTTTGCTTTCTGTATTATTCTAGAGCTTGCTTAGCATGAACTCTTGCCCCTGAGAAATCTTTCAATTTATTTGCTTTGTATACTTTTTTCTCTCCTTTGTTCCTTATGGTTGGAGAGAATGGGCTGAAATATTCTTTTCTTCATTTTTTAATTTAACTAACATTTGAAAACCTACTTGTGTAAGACACTGTGTCAGGTTCTGGGCCACCTCAGTAAATAAAAACCACAGCTTCTCAGTTGGGGAGACAAAGAGGTTGAATATTATTCATTCATTCAGCAAATATTTATTAAGAGTGGAATACATACCCTGACAGGTGTGGCTCAGTTTGTTGAGCATGGCCCCGGGCACCAAGAAGTTGCCAGTTTGATTCCTGGACAGGGCACATGCGCAGACTGTGGGCTTGATCCCCAGTAGGGGGCGTGCAAGAGGCAGCTGATCTTTGTTGCCCTCTTACATCCATGTTTTTCTCTCTCTCCCATCCTCTCTCTCTAAATAAAAAATCAATAGTAATAAAAACATTTTTAAAAAAAGACTGGGATACAGTGGTTTGTAAAACCAAAAATTCTTTTGCTCATGGGGCATACATTTTAGTAAGACATCACATATGTTAAGAAAAAGATTATACAAACTAATGTTAAATTATAGCTATGTTGAGTCCTATGATGGAGAGCTCCATAGTGCTGTGAGAATATATACAGGAGGTTTTGTTCTGGTCAGGAGGAAGTCCCCTTGAGGAAGTGAAGAGTGAACTGAGATCTGAAGGCACAGTAAGAACTATGTAGGTAAAGGCAGCAGGAAAGAGGGAATAACAGATGCAAAAGTCCAGTGCTGAGAGGGAGATTGGAGCATTTGAGGAAATGAAAGCATATAGGATGGAGTGAGGCTGAAGAGGCAGGCTGGGGTCAAATCCTACAGGGTTTGGTGGGTCCTGTTAAGGACTTTGGTCCTTATTTTGTGAGCAATGGAATGGATGTACTGGAAGTGCTGTAAGCAGGGGGAAGGAGGGAAAAGTATAAAAACATACCTTTATTTTTTAAACATTAGTCTGAATACCGTGAAGAATAAATGGAGTTGAGCATAGGTGTAAGTGAGGGAAAGGACGTGGGAGAGCCAGTTAGGAGGCTGTTGTGGCAGTCCAGGTGAGAGGTGAGAGTAGGGGTTAGCAAGGATTTAATATTTCCAAACCTACCCTCATTTCTTATTAAATGTATTTTTTATCCCCAAACAATTGTTTTTGAAAGTTGACTTACACAGATGTGATAAAACTTAAGTTCCTTCAAATGAGAAATGGATGATTTAAATAAAAAGGGGTATGAGTGGAATTATACCAGATAATCTAGAATAAAAATGATGACTGAGCTCAAGTTTAAAATTTAGCTCTGAGCTCCTGGAAGCCTAGACAGAAGGAAATCATATAGGGCATGTGAATGATTAACTAAAAGAAGCATGCTAGTTAAGTGAGGAAAATAATCTTTTCCTTATAAATATTTAAACTTCTTTACTATAGAATTGATATTAAATAACCTAGATTGGTCCAGATTATTAAAACTCAAGACTTCAGCTCTTGTGATCATGGCATTACTCTATTTTTGGCTGTAGGCTACAATGATATTTCAAAGAGTAAAAATTTCCAAAAATTCCAGAGCTGAACTACATAAACACATTTATTAGATCCCTTGCTACAGAGGGGAAGCATAGGATAGTAGAGGAGATAAGAAATATAGACCAGGTAAGAAGCCAATAATGCAGCCCATGGGCAGGAAGTAAACCCTTAATTTATTTCCTTGAAGACCTTCCCTTTTGCCTTGACAGATACTCTTTTTTCTTGTCCGCTTCTCCAGTAGCTATTTAATTTGTTTCCATAAATACTTATTCATAGAAGACATCATTCTTGCATTGCAATATGTATAGTTAGGGATAAAGAGTACCACACACAGAAGTGGCAACCTTATTTCTCATCTGTTCACATTCCAACCACTAAATGATACTTCCAGAATCAAGAACCTCAAAAAAAACCCCAGAATTATTTCTAATTATTTTATTGATGTTATCCAGAGTTTCAAGTGACTGTCCTGTGAGTTCTCTGCACTGGGGCTTATTCTCCATGCAGTCCCTTCCTAGATCTGTATGTACTTGGCCAATGGCTTTAAGCTTTGCTGCCTACTCTCCTAATAAGATGTTATGCCCAAAGGCACAGTAGAGTCCCAGGAGGAGAGCTAGAGATAATAGTAAAATAGGGAACAATAAGTCAGATAAGTCCAGATTGTTGGCTCCCAAACCTCAGCTCTTGAGATAGTGGCCTTAATCCATTTTTTATAGTAGGTCACATTGGTGTAGACTCCAGGAGTTTTGCCACATTCAAATCCCCAGCTTACTATTCCTATCAGGGTCCATACATCATCAATATGACATGACAGAGGTCCTCCAGAATCACCCTAAGGAAGAGATAAAGGTCATGAGCATAGTGAAAAAGACCATGAATAGGAGAATGGTCACAAGAGGTGGAGAGTTCCTTAGAATGGGGCTTTGGAGCAGGTGTAGCTACAGAATTCTTGAGGGAGCCAGACTTCCCACTGCATTAGGAGGAGATAACGGGAATTCTAGAATTATAGAATTTGAAATTGGCAGAGATCTTAGCTAAATATATCAGTAGTTTCAAAATACTTGGGATAAAAAAAAGAGAAATTAATGTAATGAGTTTTTTCACTGAAATTACTCAATTGCATGAATTGCCCTTATTTTTATGACCTTAGGTTCTTCCTTTTTTAGTGTCAAAATAATCTTTTCTTATACAAAATGATAGTGATAGTAAGTAATTGGTGGTATGTCTCTCAATCTTGCTGTTCCATTTTATAACAACCTTACTGTTATAATTCACACACTATACAATTCACCCATTTAAAGTATACAGTCAGTGGTTTTTAGTATATTCATATTCACAATGTTGCTCAACCATCACCATGACATATTTTAGAACATTTTTGTCACCTGCAAAAGACACACCATACCCATTAGCAGTCACCCTGATTTCCTCCCAGCCCTAGGCCAACCAGAAATCTATTTTGTGTAATATGGATGTGCACATTCTGGATGTTTTATATAAATGGAATAATATGTGTCTGGCTTCTTTCATTAAGCATACTCTCTTTAAGGTTCATCTATGTTGTAGCATGTATTAGTTCTCCATTCCTTTTAATGGCTAATATCACACTATATGGATATACCATATTTTGTTTATGTAGTCATCAATTGATGGATCTTTGGGTTGTTTAACTTTTTGGCCATTATGACTAATACTGCTACGAACATTTATGTATAAGTTTTTATATAGACATGTGTTTTTATTTCTCTAGTGTATATACATAGGAGTGGAATTCCTGGGTCATGTAGTTAATTCTATATTTAACCTTTTGAGGAACTACTAGACGATTTTCCAAAGCAGCTGCACCATTTTACATTCCCACTAGGTGTATGAAGTTTCCAATTTTTCCACATCCTTGTCAACTCTTGTCATTATCTATCTTGATTGTAGCTATCCTAGTGAATGTGAAGCCATATCTCATTGTTTGATTTGCACATAATGTATATACAGATAGAAAATTTTGGTAGAGATATAGAAAAGTGTGTGTGTGCACATGCACACATGTGAAAGAGAGGGAGAGAGAGAGAAGAAAAACTAAATGGTCACTCTAAAACTAAAAAATAAAATATTTGAAAGATTTCACTGGATGAACTTAGCAGGAAAATATAGATGACAGGAGAAGAGGCAATGATCTTGAATATGGATTAATTTAAAAGTGTCCCAAAGAACAGGAAAATACAGTGAACAGATTCAGGGATTTGTGTGAAAATATCAAAAGGTGTAACATAAATTTGTGGTTTTAATCAGAAAACAAAAAGAGAGAAATGAAGTAGAAGTAATATTTGAAGGAATCATGAATGAAAAATTTTTAAGTTTTGATGAAAGATAAAAGTAGATTAAAAAAACAAAATCTCAACAAATCCCAAATAGAATAAATACAATGAAACCCATACATTGCACATCATAATCAAACTTCTGACGAATATGAAGAAAATCTGAAAGCAACACAGCAAAACCGAATGGAGGAAGACACACTGATGACTGATTTTTCATTGAGGTTATGGTCAGGAGACAATGGAATGACATCTTTTACATGTAGAATGAAATGTTATTACTTGAGATCCAGCGTAGGTAAATGCCATACCACAACCACATCAAAATTACAACTAAACTACAGAACAGCCATCATTCAGAACTGAAATTGAGCTGAATGGAAGTCCTACAACTAAAAAATTTAAAAAGAGGTCACACACATCACGACTGGTTGGAGGGGCAGAGGTGTGGAAGGGTTGGTCGCACACCCACCTACAGCAGATAAAAATCAGGAGGGATACCTTGGCTGTGAAGGTCCTCCCTGAGGAGCTAGGGGTCCCCATTAAACACCAGACACCCCAGTTCTGGGTTCCAGTGCCGGGAGGAGAAGTCCCCATAACTTCTGGCTGTAAAAAAAAAAAAAGTAGAATTTGAGACTGAGGGAGGCTGAAACTTCTGGAGTCCCAGGCAGTTCCTTTTAAAGGACCCGCATATCGCCCTGGCCAGTTTGGCTCAGAGGTTAGAGCGTCAGCCTGCGGTCCGGAGAGACCCGGGTTCGGTTCCCGCTAAGGGCACGTACTTTGGTTGCAGTTTGTCCCCGGCCTTGGTTGGTCGTGCGGGTGGCAGCCACTCGATGTGTCCCTTCACGTCGATGTTTCTCTCTCTCTCTCCCTTCCTCTCCCTCCCTCCCACTCTGTCTGTACAAAAAAATGGAAAAAATATCCTCGGGTGAGGATTAAAAAAAAAATAAAAATAAAAAAAAATAAAATAAAGGGCCCGCATATGGACTTACTCAGACAACTCACTCCCTTTGGGCTCCAGTACAGGGGAAGAAATTTGAAAGCACCAGAGAAATATGGGGAAGAACTGCGTTGTTTGGCATTGGGGTGAGAGCTGAAGGGGCAGCTCTCTCTCAGTCAGACGTACTGGTGGAAGCCGTTGTTCCTTTGGTGAGCTTTCCCCAATGGGGCTCAAAGATGGGTGCATATCTCTGTCTTCAGTGCCTGGCTCAGTGTTTGCCCTGCCCTGGTGATACCCTGAGGCCCTGCCCCACCCAACTTTCAGACCTATCCAAGCTGTTTCCAGTGGCTTTACCATAGGAATTGCCTCTCTTGGCTCATGCTTTGGATTTTACCAAAAATCTTTCAAACAAGCAGCATCTGGCCTCAGCAAGCCCCATACCTCTTGCTAAGTGGTCCCAGGCCCAGCACTAGCAGCACTGGGCCTTGGCCTCCCCTGGCCACCTCCAAGCCCAGCACAAGAAACAACCATCTTCAGATTGCTTTGTAGATTATGTCTAGTGTCCCCTGGTGGAACACAGGCAGTGGTTGACCTTGGCCTGTGCCTCCTGGAAGGCCCCAGAGCCAGTATACCCAGTGGACAGCTTCAGACCATGTCAAAGCATCACCATCCAACCACCTTCACAAGCAACACTCTCAAGGAGTGGACTCATTGGATACCAGAGCCCTGCTGAAGTAAGTCGTCTTCTGTGCGGAGATTCTAAGGTGGTCAGAGGTTGGTGGTAGGTGGGCACAGATTACAGCCTGAGGAAATCCCTTCCATTGACATGCCAACAGCAATCAAGGCTCAATTACAACAGACAGGTGTACAGTTCACATGATGGGTACACCTCAAGGGCTCAGCTGGGGTGTGCCACTGTATCCTACAGGACACCTACTACAAAGTGACAGAAAACTTCACTAACTTGGTGAAGGAAACAGATTTATAAGTCTAGGAAGCACAGAGAGTCCCAAACAAGATGACCCAAAGAGGTCCACACCAAGACACATCATCATCAAAATGCCAAAGGTTAAAGACAAAGAGAGAATCTTAAAAGCAGCAAGAGAAAAGCAGTTCATTACCTGCAAAGGAGCTCCCATAAGACTGTCAGCTGATTTCTCAAAAGAAATTTGTCAGGCCAGAAAGGAGTGGCAAGAGATATTCAAAGTGATGAAAAGCAGTGACCTACAACTAAGATGACTCTGTCCTGCAAAGCTATCATTTAGAATCGATGGGCATGTAAAGAGTTTTCCAGACAAGAACAAGCTAAAGGAGTTCATCACCACCAACCAGTATTATATGAAATGTTGAAGGGTTTTCTTGAAGGAGAACAAAAATATGAACAATAAAATGGCAGTTAATACATATCTATCAACAATTGAATCTGCAAACCAAATGAAGAAGCAGAACAGAAACAGACTTATAGATACAGAGAGCTTTTTGATGGTTGCCAGATGGGAAGGAGGTTGGGGATGGGTGCAAAAGGTGAAGGAATTAAGAAGTACAACTTGTTTGTTAGACTGACGAACCTCAGAGGGAAGTAGGGGTGCAGGAAGAAATAAATCAAAGAACTTATATGCATATATGCATAACCAGTGGACACAGACAATAGTGTGGGGAAGGCAGGAGGAGGTGGGAGTGGAGAGTAGGGGGTTAATGAGGGGGAAAGGAGGGATATCTGTAATACTTTTAACAACAAAGATAAATTTTTTTTGTTTTTTTTAATCCTCACCCAAGGACATTTTTCCATTTTTTGTTCAGGTAGAGTGGGAGGGAGAGAGAGGAACAGAGAGAGAGAGAGAAACATCCATGCGAAAGGAACACATCGAGTGGCTGCCACCCGCACAACCGACCAGGGCCGGGGACAAACTGCAACCGAGGTACGCGCCCTTAGCGGGAACCGAACCGGGTCTCTCAGGACCGCAGGCCGACTCTCTAACCGCTGAGCCAAACCGGCCAGGGCAACAAAGATAAATTTTTAAAAAAGAAATGATAACTTGAAAAAATAAAAATGTTGGCAATTCTCTGTCAACCTCTTAATATATTTAGAAAAATTTACATGTTTATAAAAACCCAATGATCGATGGTTAGCACTGCTCTAGATCAACAATTGAAAAGATTAAATGCATAGATAAAGATTAAGTGACTTGTTCAGAATAACACAAGAATTATTGTCAGAATCCCTGGGTCCTGGTTCCTAATCCACTGTTGTTTACCGATAGGAATACCTGGATCCACATTAAGATTTTATGTTAAAAAATTTCAACAGCAAACCCTAACCATGCAGCTGTCCTTCTTTTTAAGACTGTCACCAGCACAAATCATGTCTTCCTTGATGACCGGCTCTACTCCTGGCACTAATAAGGAGACTGGGTTGTAGAAATATTCACAAGTTTGTCGGTCAGTGATGGGTACTTCTGCTTCCTGGAGGGTGGGAGGTTCATAGGTATCTGTGGAGATAGGAATGAAGGGAAAAGCAATCTAGAAAGGTACAGGGGCAGCATTCAGTCATGATGTACAAAAGTTCTGAATGGGAATCCAAAAGCAGAATGTAATCACTTTCCAATCATATTTGCTAGTGGAAGAATTTTTTTCGTACACTTAATCTAAAACAGTGGATAATTCAGAATTATTTCTATTTGAGGTTTTTCTAGTGTGCTAAAGTAGGGTATCCCTGATATTCCAAATAAAGAGAAAGTCAGATATATTTTGATTAAAGAAAAATGTGAGTATTCTAAAGTTTTCTAAAACTTTTTCCGTTCCCACTTTTCTGCTCCCAGATAATTTCCTGTCTTGTGTTTATTCCATCCTGGGAAACAGTTGACACAACACTTTAAGAACAGATTTTTAAAACTTTAAATCAGGTTTCTTAATGTCTGTTTCAGAGAGATAATTATGTGCTTAAATTGTTAGTATCTGCTCTTGTAGCTATAGCTAGACTCCAGGTAGGATATAAGGGTAAATAAACATATAAATGTCAAAAAATACATTTTATTTGAAAACTTATAGATAGTATAAATAGGTTGATCTGGTTTTTGAAAAATATTTGCCTTAGTGATGATATATCTACAATCTAAATGATCTGCAATGGATACAAGAGGATGACATATAAAACAACCCCTTTTGCCCTGGCCAGTTTGGCTCAGCGGTTAGAGTGTCAGCCTGCAGTCCGCAGAGACCCGGGTTCGGTTCCCGCTAACGGCACGTACTTCGGTTGCAGTTTGTCCCCGGCCCTGGTTGGTCGTGCGGGTGGCAGCCACTCGATGTGTCCCTTCACGTCGATGTTTCTCTCTCTCCCTCTCCCTTCCTCTCTCTCCCTCCCACTCTATCTGTACAAAAAAATGGAAAAATGTCCTCGGGTGAGGATAAAAAAAAAATAAAAAAAAAATAAAACAACCCCTTTTTTGCCCAGCAAGTGTGGCTCAATGGATTGAACCCATGGACTGAGAGGTCCCTGTTCAATTCCCAGTCAGGGCACATGCCCCAGTTGCAGGCTCAATCCCCAATAGAGGGTGTGCAGGAGGCAGCTGATTGATGTTTCTCTCTCTCTCTAAAAAATCAAGAAAAGACATATTTTAAAATAATAATAAAAATAAAACAACCCCTTTCTCTACCCATCCTCACCTTCATTTTTGTCAGCTTCTCCCCATCCAGTCACCCAGCAAGAGCCAGGAATTGTCAACTGCTTTGTGGTATTAGGCAGGCAGATGGGCAGGATGAAAGAAGTGAAGGTGACTCTAGAGACCAGTTTCAATAAGGCGATGTCTGCAGTAATATTTGGGGATTGGGGATGGAAAACAACTTGGGATACACGATGTATCACATTCTTATTTGAATAGTGTATTGTAATCGATCCCAGCCACACAGTATATAAGTAAGGAATCCAGTTCCTAAGGGGAAGAGAAAGAGGAAAATAAAAGTGGAGCATGCATATGTGTTACAGCTGGGTCAGAACAAGCTGTCTAGGTGTAGCAAGCAGTAAGGCTCTATAAGAAAGAAGGGTGCTCACTTATCTGTGGAATATAATGAACATTATAGTCTGAGGAATGGGGTCGTCCCAGAGATGTGGAGGTGGGGTACAGACTGACAATCCCCAGAAGAGGGGATGGTGGGGGAGAGATAAACCACAGAACTTATATGCATGTATGTATAAACAATGGGCATGGACAACAGAGGGGGACAGGGCGGGGAGGGGGGGGAGAAAGGAATCAGTGGGAGTAAAAGGAGAAACATCTGTAACAAAAATAAATAAATTAATTAATTAAGAAAGAAAGAAAGAAGGGTGAGCTGACCGGTGTGGCTTAGTGGATTGAGCGTCGTCCCACTGACTGAGAGGTCCCTGTTCAATTCCTGGTCAAGGCACATGCCCGGTTTGCGGGCTTGATCCCCCAGTAGAGGGTGTGCTGGAGGCCGCCAATCAGTGTCTTTCTCTCACATCAGTGTTTTTATCTCTCTCTCCCTTCCTCTCTCCGGAAAAAAAAAAAGAAAGAAAGAAAGGTGACAGACTCGGAATTAACTAGCCTACTTCCAACTATGACTAGGGTTGGTTTGTCTGCTTTTCTCTTCCCTCCCTCTTACATGCTTATGGCCAGCATTTTGTCTTGCATTTTCTCCCTGGTTCTCTTGTTCACCTCTCCCATTCTACATGGTTTCAGCTATCACCTGTATGCGTAATAGTCATTGGTCTTTTTTATTGCCAGTTTTTATTTCTGAGCACTAGACCTTTATTTCTAAGTAACAGTTTAAAGCAAAGTATAATCACCAAACATATAATATAAAGATGGAATGAATGAATGAATGCCTATAATTAATACTTCCCCCAAGGCAGTCACTGTTAACTCTCAACTATTTCCCTTAGTATCTTCAAGAAACTCTATTTATTGCTATTAAATTTTTAAAAGAATATTGTATTACTATGGTGAAAAGTGAGGATTGAGCCAACAATCATTGCCAGCTTCCCACTTCCTTTTACCCATCCTCCTAACCAAGTGTTATTGTTTTTTTGTTAGGTCATTATTTAATGTGCATGTTCTTATGATTGTGTAAACATTATTTACTACTAGACCATAATGAGTACTGTGAATACATTTCTTATAAAATTTCTTGCTTATCCTGGAGTTAATAATGTAGTCTCACTTCTTTGTCTTCTTAGTTTTCTAATTACCTATTATTTATTCATCATTAACTCCCCAAACTCTGGGCCAGAAGTAATGTAAATCTCTCAGTGTGTTAAAACCTTCAGGCATTCTATCAATATTATCCTTTTTTTTTTTTTTTGAACCCCCTGCCCTCTTGCCCTAATCTTGGTGTTTTCCTTTATCATTTTCTATGTTTTATCCCCTTTTTTCTGGATCCCATGTTTTCTTGCTCCTGCCCCCTTTATTTTGGTGAAGCACTTTTTCCTTCGGCTCCCTGATAAAATGTGCGAGAGAGGTAATATTTTTTGTGTTGTCTATTTGAAAGTGCCTTATTTCTGTCCCACAATTGATTGATAGTTTGCATATGGATAGAATGCTAGATTGGAAATAATAGTTTCTCAGTATTTTAAAGTTATTTCTCTGTTGTCTTATAACTTTCAGTGTTGTTATTTAAAAGTTCTGTTGTTGTTATTTCTGTATACATTAGTTATCTATTGTTGAATAATATGTTACCACAAAGCTTAGCAGCTTGAAATATACATTTATCTCACAGTTTCTGTGGGTCAGGAATCAGTTGCGACTTAGTTGGGTGCCTCTGGCTCAGGGTCTTTCGTGATGCTGTGGTCAGGGTGGGCTGCAGTCAGTTTCAAGGTTCGACTCAGGGAGGATGTTTCCAAACTCACTTAAGTTGGCAGGCTTTGAGTCTTCACTAGCTATTGGCTAGAAACATAAATTTTACATGGACCTCCCCTAGGGCACCTTACTTTGCTCACTGCAGCAGTTCTGAGAGAAACCTCAGACTGTGCTTATGACTCCCAAGCTTAAGACAAAACTCCCTGACTAGTGTTTAGGAAGTAATTTGGCAAAAAGTAAGAAAAGTGCCTATTTTCATTATTTCTTTTTCTATCTCTATGTTCTGTCCTCAGTCCACGGTGACCTCGGGTTTCCTTCTGCCTACCCATCTTGCCACTTTTGTCGGTTGGTTTATTCATGAAATCATTCAAATATTTACTGAGACCCTGTGTGCTAGCCATTAGGTAGAACTCACAATTTTATGCAGTGTGCTGCCGTCAGTATCCACCTGTCACTGATGAGGGAACCTCCACAGATGTGAATCTGGCCAATATGCAGACTGACCTGCCAAGGCCAGTGCCCTGCAACAGCATTCTGTCCACCCACAATACGGTCTGATATACGTTGTCCACACACTAGAGAAAGAGGAGAGAGGGAAATGTGGATCTGGGTGTTTTGTTTCCCTCATTTTCTCATCATCCCCCAAATCTTATTCCTAGGACCTGCATCCTCCCTAGCCACCATATGCCATCCTATTCCAGTTCCAAACCCAGCAGTTTGGGGCCCAAATGGAGATCACTCACCTGACTGCAGATCTTTGTTTTTGGAAGAAGAGCATGGGCAAGACCCTAAGACAGAAAGACAGATACACCATATCATTAATGTATTACAACACAACAACTAAAGTCACTGAACAGAGGGGCTTTCCACATATTTAAATTCTTCAAATTAGTGTTAAAGGCAAAATTTTTATAATGTTTACCCATTAGTGGGAAATCTTGGTAATTATTACATACCTACTTGCCTGCTTTAGCAGCATACATGGAACATAATTTATTTTTTACTTGGTGATTCAAGGCTGTCATTGGAAATATCAAGATGTTAGGTTGTAAATACAATGATGCCTTCAGATGCTTTTGAGGTTTATAAGCTGTTTTCTTTTGTCCTATTTTCTTTATCTGAATTGGCATTTTTTAGTATTTGTATGTCTTCCTTTTTTGCCACCTGTTATTTTTTTTTGTTGATCTCAGCCTACCCTGCTTTTAAATCACCATTGGCCAGAAGAATGATTGAACAAGCTTATGCCTGAAATCACTGAACAGCATTTGTACTTCCAGTTCTCTCTGCTTAAAATGCTCTTTTCCCTGATCCTCTCAGTTAAATCACTCATCTCCTTCAAGTCTTTGCTCAAGTGAGTCCCTCTTAATGAAACCTTTCTTGACTCTGTTTAAAATTACAACACGCCTCCTGTCCCTGCACTCTAGATGCCCCTTCCTCTCATAGTATTTATTACTTTCTAATATGCTGTATAATTAACATATTCAATATGTGCATTGTTTATAGGCCCCATGAGGGCAGGGATATAGTTTACTACTATATCTAAGATATTTGGAAAGGTGCCTCTCGGAACTTTCTCAGGATACACTATTATAAGTAAGATCCCATGGGTGAAGTGTCATTTTATTCTATACGATAACTTCCTGAGCCAAAAACCTCTCTTGCTGCCCCCCCCCCCCCAGCCCTCCCGAGGGGCTCACCCAGCACAAGGGACAGCAGGAAGACACAACCAGTGGAGACCATGTTTCTGTCCTCAGAATCAGCACTTCCTGCTTCATGGACTCAGGCTCCCAGGCAGAGGCCAGCTGGGGAGCAGCTTCTCCTCCTAGATAGATGCCTCAACTTCACCCCTTTCTCTCCTTTGATCTTCACTCTGGGCCAGACACTAAAGGGACCAGACTTCAGAAGTACAGCAGTAGGAAGGACCCAGGGGAGGAACAGGGGCTTGCGGTGCCCCCCTGTTGTGTAGGGAGAGCAGGGTGCCGGGTGGAGGAGAGGTGGTTGCAGTAGCTAACTGCCCAGGCAAGTTGGAGGCCACTGGAAGGAACAGGATCCTTTTCTCTAGCAAGGAAATAGAAGATGGACAGCATTGTTCAAAAGCAAGAAGTGGAAAATGGGAAATTAACTCAGCACCTGGCTAATTTTTCTAATTTTTTGTTTTCATCTTCAATATAGTGTTAGCCTTAGAATATACTGTAAGTGAGATTTTCTGGGAAATAGACTTCAAGGCAGAGAGATTTGTGTGTAAAAAGTTTATTTGAGCCCTGGCCGGTTTGGCTCAGCGGTTAGAATGTTGGCCTGCGGTCTGGAGAGACCCGTGTTCGGTTCCCACTAAGGGCACGTACCTCGGTTGCAGTTTGTCCCCGGCCCTGGTTGGGTTGTGTGGTTGGCAACCACTCGATGTGTCCCTTTCACGTCGATGTTTCTCTCTCTGTCTCTTCCTCTCTCACCCTCCCACTCTATCTGAACAAAAACAAAAACAAAAACAAAAAACAAAAACAAAAAGTTTGGGACTGAAAAAATGGCGGCGGAGTGAACGGAGCTACACAGACCGTCTCCCAGAACCAAACTGGAATTACAACTATAACACAGACAAATCGACAGGAAAAAGCAACAGAAAAGCAGCTTGCGAGGACCATACAACGAGGGACACTGACTTCATCCCGGTAGGCTTGTGAAGGCACGAGACGGGGGCTGGGAGCCCATCGGCAGCTCGGCAACGGCCTTAGCTGGGTGCAGCGCCTTCGGGTTACACTCCCAGGCGGCCCCACAGCGCAGAGCCGGGAAACAGGCTAAAACAGCCACAGCCACTCACCTTGGGCTCCGGCGGAGGGAGGGCAGACAGGACTGGAACTGTGTCGGGACACTCGGGGTTTGGAGGGTGCTCAGAGCTTTGGCTGAGTGCAGCCACTCAGGACGGTGGCCACATTGCTCCTTCCTAGGGCTCAGAGGAGAGGCAGCAGCCCCTCCCTCGGAGATCCAACCCCACCCTGTGGGCCATTGAAGTGCTAATTGAGGCTCACTAACAACCAGCATCTGCCCTACCCTCGTGAAAGCCCCTTGGCTGAGCACCAGAGGGAGTTTTTCAATCAACTGACAACCCAAAACTCATCAAGTAACCTAGACTGCTAGCCTCCAGGCAAAAAAGCTAGAGGATAACAGTACCTTTCCTGGGCTGGCAACTTTAACCAGGAAAGTAAGACTTGACAGTGGTGTTCAACGTCGGTCCTCCCTCGCTCATCTAAACACAGGAGAGGGAGCCACAAACAGCAGAACACCAACACTCACAGGGAGAACTTGACAGGCTCCAAAGCCCACAGTGATAGCCAAAATGGTGAAACACAGAAACAGAAGCCAAATGAAAGAGCAAGAGACCTCCACCGAAGATGAGATCAATGTGGAGCAATTAGGCATGTTAACAGAGCTAGAATTCAGAGCCATGATCTTGAAGCTGAACAGCATGAGTAAGGACATAGAGCCAATTGGAAATTAAAAACCAACAAGAAGAGATAAAAAATGACATATCAGAAATGAAAAACACATTGGAAGGTTTAAAAAGCAGAGTAGAAGAAGCTGAGGACCGGATCAGTGAATTAGAAGACAGGGTAGAAAAAATCAATCAATCAGAAAAACAAAAGGAAAAAACGATTAAAAAACAGGAAGACAGCTTAAGAGAACTATGGGACAACTGGAAACGTAATAATATTCGCATCATAGGAGTCCCCGAAGAAGAAGAAAATGAGCAAGGGATAGAGAATATATTCAAAAACATAGTGAGAGAAAACTTCCCTAATTTGGTGAAGGAAGAAGGTATTCAAGTTCAAGAAGCACAGAGAGTCCCAAGTAAGAAGAACCCAAACAGGCCCACACCAAGACACATAGTAATTAAAATGCCACAAATTAAAGACAAAGAGAGAATCCTAAAAGCAGCAAGAGATAAGCAACAAGTTACCTACAAAGGGAGCCCCATAAGGCTCTCAGCGGACTTCTCACAAGAAACACTACAGGCCAGAAGAGAATGGCATGAAGTAATCAAAGTCATGAAAAACAAGAATCTGAATCCAAGACTACTCTACCCAGCAAGGCTATCATTCAAAATAGAAGATCAAATAAAGAGCTTCCCAGACAAAAAAAGGCTAAGGGAATACATTAGCACCAAACCAGCACTGCAAGAAATGCTAAAAGGACTGCTGTAATTAGCAGTAGAAATGGGAAGAAAAATAGAACCACACTAAACAAAAATGGCAATAAATAAGTACGTATCAATAATCACCTTAAACGTAAATGGATTGAATGCTCCCATAAAAAGACACAGAGTAGCTGATTGGATAAGAAAGCATGACTCATCTATATGTTGTTTACAAGAGACCCACCTCTCAACAAAAGACTCACATAGGTTGAAAGTGAAGAGATGGAAAAAAATTTTCCAAGCAAATGGAAAGCAAAAAAAAGCTGGGGTAGCAATTCTCATATCTGATAAAATAGATTTCAAAATGAAGACCATAACTAGAGACAAAGATAGCCACTATATAATATTGAAAGGATCTATCCAACAGGAAGATATAACCTTGATAAACATATATGCACCCAATATAGGAGCACCAAAATATATTAAAAATCTTCTGGAGGACTTCCAAGGAGAAATCGACAACAGTACAATCATAGCAGGGGACTTCAACACCCCATTGACAGCACTGGATAGATCCTCTAGGCAAAAAATTAGCAAGGAAACAGAGACTCTAAATGAAGCACTAGACCAAATGGATTTAATAGATATCTACAGAGAATTACACCCCAAAACTACAGAATACACATTCTTCTCAAGTGCACATGGGACATTCTCAAAGATAGACCACATGATAGGACACAAACTAAATCTCTACAAGTTCAAGAAGATTGAAATCATATCAAGCATCTTCTCAGATCACAATGGCATGAAACTAGAAATCAATTGCAACAAGAACATGCAAAGACATTTCAACACATGGAGGCTAAATAGCATGTTATTAAACAATGAATGGGTCACCGAGGAGATCAAGGAAGAAATTAAAAACTTCCTGGCAACCAATGAAAATGAACATACAACAACACAAAATCTATGGGATGCAGTGAAAGCAGTTCTGAGAGGGAAGTTCATAGCACTACAGGCCTACCTCAAAAAACAAGAAAAATTTCTAATTGACTGTCTAACCTCACAACTTAAAGAATTAGAAAGCAAACAAAAAGAAAACCCCAGAGCAAGTAGAAGGAAGGAAATAGTAAAGATCAGAGCAGAAATAAATGACATAGAGACCAAAAAAACAATTCAAAGGATCAATGAAACAAAGAGCTGGTTTTTCGAAAAGATAAACAAGATTGATGGACCCTTAGCTAGACTCACCAAGAAACAAAGAGAGAGAACCCAAATACACAAAATCAGAAATGAAAGAGGAGAAGTAAACAACCAACACCACGGAAATACAAAAGATCGTCAACAACTACTATCAACAACTATATGGCAACAAATTCGACAATCTAAGCGAAATGGACAAATTTCTAGAAACACACAGTCTCCCAAAACTATCCCCGGAAGAGATAGAAAACTTGAACAGACCAATAACAACTAAGGAAATTGAAGAGGTAATCAAGACTCTCCCAGCAAACAAAAGCCCAGGCCCAGATGGCTTCACGGGGGAGTTTTACCGAACATTCAAAAAAGAACTAACACCCATTCTCCTCAAACTATTTCAAAAAATTCAAGAAGAAGGAAGACTTCCAAACACGTTCTATGAGGCCAGCATAATTCTAATTC